AGCCACATTTAACAGCCACTGCAGTGAGGAACAACACATACATATATGATTTTATGTATGTACACTCATGCACATGCAAACATAATTGCTGACACAGCACTCATTACGACGGTGCTAAGAAGCTATTTAGTCTGTGAGAGCGCACCAATAACAATTTCGTTTTCGTTCTCAATTTTGTGAAATACAAACTGCATAGTAACATTTGGTTTCATGGCGTTACTCATCTGACTGTCTAAATTAGCCTTGGTTATGTCTATATATATATCTTTATATATAAATTATATAAATAAGACAGGTGTCGAACTTTTTGTCCCTTGAGCGTTCTTAACAACTAGACAATGCAAAGGTGGCCTAAGGGAAAGCAGTTCACATGACGCTGAAAAATGGTACATACTCATATTACTTCCACAATTTTGTAGGGTCCTATTTAATAATGGCTTTTGACAAGGGTAACTTTTTTAACCCGCATGCTTGTGGAATTAAACTGTAGATTTTTTTGCAATAAATAAATTTTCTTAAAAGCCTTTATGTCGTAAAGGTTATAAAATATCGATAAGAAGCAAACTCTTAGCACTTAAGGTTTTGACATGAAGCTGTTGGAAGATTATATACGGAGCAAGAATCTTATTTGAGTCCCTATTTTTGTGCTCATGTGATTTATGTGAGTAAACGAGTATTCTACAGCACAATAGGTTGTACGAATATCATCAAGATCGGTTAAAAAACACAGACGTTGATAGAGTAAGCGTGTGGTTCTGTTAGCAAGACACGTAACCGACAGCGCAATACGCAGAAAATGTTGTATACATGTACATACATGCATATACAATTGCTATAGTTCAATTGTTATAGCGATTATATTTTATTGTACACATCAGATACACAGTACTCAAATTTTCAGCGTTAATAACCACCAAACAGTAGATCCTACACCATCGGCCCATGTTATACGTTGAATTTTGTAACTGTTACTTTAGAATGTGAAAAAGCAGTAATTAGTTACTTCTAAATACTCGATAACTGAAATGGTTTAAATTAATATCGATCATCTCTACTATTATTACAAATCCACTATTATTACTTAATCAAGTATAAATTATTGAACTGACAGTAAAAGTTGTTGATATTTAGAGGTAATTGGTAATGAATGAAAACCCAAAAAATATGTTTATGTACTTAAATGTGCATATTTATACATATTCACAGTTACTGTATGCAATCCTAAAGAAGCGGCCATAGAAGAACACATCAAATGTCACCATCAAATCTTAACGCAAATCTTTTAATCATTGCACCCATCTTAAAGTCGGTAAAAAGGGTATAATGGTATAGTGCAAACGTACGCGACAGGCAGAGTTAAGCTTCTGCGACCCCATCAATAGCCGAGGCGGTCTATACAAATCGATGTCGTAAGCCGGTTTTTTAGAAAAGCTCTTAAATCGAAGAGCAAGTCACCAAATTAGATGTATAGTTTCTATCTCTATATATAAAACTGTTTGTCCTGACTGACTGACTGGTTGATTGGTGATCAACGCACAGCCCAAACCGTAAGAACTAGGAAGCTCAAATTTTCACTGTAGTTACCTTATGTGATGAAAGTGCACGTTAAGACGGGATTTCGGGAAATTCCACCCGCAAGTATGGTGAAACTTTGGCCTCCTTGGTGGAAATGGAGGTCAAAGATTTGGTGGATGACGTTTCGCCCTTAAATTAATTTTCAAGGATCTATATGAAAAATCATTTGAAACGTGTTTCACATTTTTCGCAAAATCTAAACTCCTTCGGTAGAAATGCGATTCAAAAAGTTTTTGGGCGAAGTTTTAAGTGGTGTCCAATTCGCTTCAAACTTATTTTCAAAGCTCTATAAAAGAACTTAATAAATACGTGTTTCAGCGATTTGGGAAATTCCACCCACAACAGTGGTTAATTAGCGAAAAACGTTGGTATGAAACTTTTTTGTTAACCATCGGATCGGCCTCAAAATTCTTTTCAAAGATCCTTCCTCAAACGCACTTTTTGCTAAATCCATTCCTCCTTGGTGGAAATAGGGGTCAAAGATTTGGTGGGTGACATTTCGCGCTTAAATTTATTTCCAAGGATCCATAAGAAAAATCATTTGAGACCTGTTTCACATTTTTCGCAGGATCAAAGCATTCTGTGTAAAACGTGCAATTCAACGATTTTTTGGTGACGTTTTAATTTTTTTTGGATTTGCTTCAAAATTATTTTCAAAGCCCTACATGAAAACTTTATGAATACGTGTTCAAACGATTTAGGAAATTCCACCCACAACAGTGGTAAATTGGCGGAAAATGTTTGTATGAAAGTTGTTTGTTTACCGTCCGATCAGTTTCAAAATCATTTTCAAAGCTTTTTGGGAACATTTATTTTATACGTGGCACGGGCAGTGCCGAGCTATATCCGCTAGTAATATATATAATATAATATACAAATTAAGTATCTTACATTTTATAGATAACGACACCTCCGCCTCAACCAATAGCTGTTTATCGAATAAATAAGTCAAGTGGAACTATCCACTTTATTAAGCCCCGATTTTTTACCGTTGTCCTTTAGAGAATATTTTATTGCACAGGAAGGTCTTCTGAAAATTTCAGCAATGTCAGTTAAGAACTACAGAAGGTATTAAAGAATACATATGGCAATATTAACAAGCCACATGGCTGCAAACGCAAAGCACAAGAACTGTATAGATGTGTATACATAAACTCAAATCCATACACACAAATAGAAAATTTCAATTCTGATTGTATTAAATACCGTGCTGTGTGTATGTGCTCCTATTAAGGTTCAGTTTTCATACCCTTGTACAGGATATAATAATCTATATATAATTCTATAGCTGCATTGAAACGGTCAGTCGAAAATGAGGCTCGTGTAGACAGAATTTTTTATTTATCGAGATATCTTGACTCGTTTAATAGTTTCACTATGCTCCTCATATATACATATGAACAATCTAATCAACATCGGGCTATTTTGTCATACAGCTGCCATAGGAACGATCGGTTGAATAGTAGGTTCTTTTATGAACAACATTTTTGTTTATCAAAACATCTTGACCCATGTCGGCATTTATGATTTTACTATGATCCTTATATATGTATATGCAAAATCACATCAACATCGCACCACTATATAATATAGCTGTCATAAAAAAGATCGATAGATACAGCACAATATAGCAGGGATTTTATTTTCCAAGATATTTTCATCAAACTTAGCATTTACGAGCCTCACAAAACTCACTTCTGCAAACCTCACTTCTACCAGGGCATAAAATCTTCGCCTTGCCGATATATCATTGAATGAAGTTATGGGTAAAAAGGGTGTCCAAAAGTATGTGACAGGCAGAAGGAAGCATTTCCGACCTCATAAAGTATATATATTCTTAATCAGAATCCATAGTCTAGTCGATCTGGCCATATCCATTTGTCTGTCTGTCCTAATGTAAGAACGCAAGGATATCAGAACCTATAAGGGCTAGAGAGCCTCCTAATGCATCCGCAGATCGAGTTTGCTTCCGATGATCGATAACTTATTCCGTTTCCAAGCAATCAATAAAAATCGATATCGACATCCTGCTTTTTTAAGCAGTAAAAATAAAGAGCTAGAGTCACCAAACTTGATGTGTTGCTTCTCGAAAATTATATATATATCAAGTATCTTTCATTTTGTATATATCGCCACCTCCCCGCTACCACCTCATAGCTATAAATCAAGTGAATAGCCCAACTTATATTGCCCACCAATTTAAGCCACAATTATACACCAATATTCTATGGTACTATGATATACTGTAGAATATTTCATTAAGATCGGTTAAGAAAAAACCAAAGTTATGTTTTGCTGCGCTATTGGATGGGGCAGCTAGCGCAAATTCCAAGAATTTCTGTATACATGTAAACACACACATTCATGCGCGTTTGCTTCGAATTCTATTAACAGCATTGCAATTGCAATTGTTTTCTATGCTGCTATTGGTGTGGCTGTTGAGTAGAGGCATATCAACTGGTGCGGTCTATCGCAAGTTCGAGCCCTACCGGGGAAACAATTTATTTATTTTTTTTTGCCTGCGTGCTTCTTTAGTAGAGTCGTAATGTAAGTAAGAAAGTAATGGTTAGTTGTTTGTTTTAATGCTACTAGCGCAAACCAAAAAACTAGCGCGTAGAACGAGATGCATATTTTGTTGGTAAAAGACTTGAGCACTCTTGCTTGTTTACCATTTATAATGTTGTTTTTCAATATATGTAACCGCAAAAGTAATCTAGCTTATGTTACTGATAAAACAAAAGAGGTTGAATAAAAAAATTGGTGATTGTCAAACAATAAAGTTCCACTCATTGAAATATTAGGCTATCTGGACTTATTCATTGGGTGGTTTTAGGTTCAACAAATGGCGACTTAGTTAATAATGATACTATTGTACTTGTGGCAGTCTCATAGACAGACCTCAGTTCCCCACGCGACTCGTTCAAACTAGATGTCAGATTTATGTAATCATTTAATTGCAATGAATAAGATTGACAAGTTATAAATAAGAAAGCAAATAGTACATCGCATGCTCAGCCTAAAGTGAAATTTTTCGGGTATGCGTCAAGCCGCCATCATTTTACAAGGAGCACCCGGTCGACAAAATATTGAAAGCTCAGCGCCACTCAACGGTATGCGCACTGTAAAACGACTTTAACAACGCCAAACTTAATGCTGGAATCGAAAATTTACGCAAGGAATGGATAAGACTTCAATCGGTATCCAGAAATGAGGAAAACTCAAAGCTACTCCATCCGGGATGGCGGACAAAGTAGGGGCTACTAATCGTTGATTATTCGCAACTTAGTCAGTGGCTATGCAAATTGGATAAATGCAATTATTTTTATTTATTTTACCTGCCAGAGCTCGTGGCCCCTTAGCCCAGAATCTGTACGCAGCAAACGGAACTCCAATTAAAAATTACTACAGTCAAAATGGATTGATTTTGCGAAACAAATTATAGAAGCTGGTTTTCTACAGAAAAGCTTCTTACGGATAGGTTTACAAAGCCGTAGATAAGGGGCACGACGTGCAGTTAGAACAATTACACACTGTTTCTCCAGTAAGCAGCGACCATTTCGTGTTACTTCTACGCGAATATAGCGATCGTCTTCACAAAGAACCGGCCCTTGGTATCAAAAGCGAGTCGGGTAACCCCTGAAAAATTAGCAATAGCAAAGCGGAAATTTTATTACATGTTTATGTAGGGCATTTGTAGTCCAAACAACAGCCAATGAGTAAGCCCCTTACACATGGTAGCCAAGAAGAACAAAAACGCAGTTGCACCACTCACCATTGCTTCTCAGCAGCATACAGTCAAAACCATACCAAAGATAACTCGACAGCTCAGCTTTTTCAGCGAATATATAACGGATATTCAGCACAATCTTGTGAAAACAAATCCAGCTGGACGAATCAAGGGCGTTGTTGTACTACCACATTCAGCTACTGTAAGCAAGTTTTAAAATCTATTCATAACTTTGTCGCACCTAGATAAGCGAGCTAAAAAAAAAACTCATTAATAAACGTTTCGTCTAGAAACACAAATTCCAAAGTCAACAGGCACACCAAAGTAATGTTTCAAAAGTTCAACCTGCATAAAAAGCGATTCAAATATATAATACGACCATACCACTCACAAGTCCATATAGTATCTTAGAAAGAATGCAAACCTTCCGAAGAGTACATCGAAAGTGAATTCATCAATCGCCATATACATATGAAGTCGGTGCTTGTTGATGCTGACATGAGCAACGAAGATAGATGGGGCTCTGCGTCGTTCCGTTTTTGAAGTACATTAAGCGAAAAAGTTTTATATTTACGATCGACTCATGTTAGTTTTTCCTTTATCCATAATATGAATGCTTTATGGGAATAATATATTACCCTAGATACTATTGAGAAATTTCAAAGGCAAATTTAAATGTTAAATAATATCACAAAGCACACCTTGTGCAAAACCCATCTTCAGAAAATAGGCTAGTGTACAGTTTATGCTGGAAAGAAGTTCTTGCGTCAGCACCTATGTTTGTATGTGAATTGTGCTTGCATACATCAAAATATGAATAAATGTGTTGTTATTTACGGCTCTGAACACGACCGTTCTCAAATTTTTATTCACATGTGAATGTTTTTACACATACAAACATAATTGCTTGCCTGGCCATCATAGAGCCGAAGCTGAGATTACATTTTCAAAAAATCCAGCTGCAATCAGCATTTTGTTGTATGGCGTTACTCATCTTGATGTTTATAGAGTATTAGGTTCAACGATGTCCCAGCTGGAGCCTGTAATACATCACACCAAACTTTAACCGAAAATTTCGTACAAAAGGATATCAAAACATGTAGTCACATTTTCCTACGAGATGACACAGGCCCGACTCGTGGTGGCCGTGAAGTTCGCACACAATTTTTCAACTTATTCGCTGCATTGCAGGGGGAGTAGATGAGGCAATCTCAACATCTTGATGAAACATCCAAAACCGATAAGTTAGGGCTAAAACAAGTGCAAAACTTGACAAACAACGGTTCCTCAATCATCATTTGAGAAATCTACAATTTTGTTGAGTCGTCATTTATGTGTGGGTTCAAGGTTAGGTATTTCGATAGTACAATTTACAGCGAAACTTTTTTTCCACAATTTGATTTTTGCTCCTGTTTAAAACTAATATATGAATGTATATTTTAATTAAATTAAGTGTTATATAAATAATTTTCTTTTGTCATTTAAGATAAGATGACCTGGACGGAGTTGCTGTCTAATCTTTCCACAAATCCATACTTTGGAGCGGGTTTTGGTTTATTTGGAGTTGGTGCCAGCGCAGCAATCCTTAGAAAAGGTCTACAAGGCGCCTCAATTTTATTTCGTCGACATTTAATGATAACATTAGAAGTACCATGTAGAGATAAGTCGTATCAATGGCTATTAAAATGGATAACCGTTAAGGGAGCTAAAAAAACTCAGCATTTAAGTGTAGAAACATCGTTTTTACAAAACGACAACGGTCAGGTTAAAACAAGCTACCATTTTATTCCTAGTCTTGGGAAACACGTATTTCGGTACAAAAATAATTGGATTCAAGTTGAGAGGACGAGAGAACAGCAGACATTAGATATACAAATGGGTGTTCCTTGGGAATCCGTAACATTGACAGCGTTTGGTAACAATAAGCAAATATATTTTGATATCCTAGAAGAAGCGCGTCAGCTAGCATTAGAGGCTACAGAAGGAAAAACACTCATGTATACAGCTATGGGTTCTGAATGGAGACCATTTGGGCATCCTCGAAGACGTAGACCTACGACTTCAGTTGTGTTAGACCTTGGGATATCCGAAAAAATTATTGCTGATTGCAATGATTTCATTTCAAATTCATTGTGGTATACAACTCGTGGAATTCCTTACCGTAGGGGCTACTTGTTATATGGACCACCAGGATGTGGTAAATCAAGTTTTATTACTGCCTTGGCGGGAGAGTTAGAATATGGAATCTGTTTGCTTAATTTATCAGAAAGGGGGCTTACTGATGATAGATTAAATCATCTTTTAAATGTAGCTCCAGAACAAACAATAATATTACTTGAAGACATTGATGCTGCCTTTGTGTCTCGAGAATCTACATTACAACAAAAATCTGCGTATGATGGTTTAAACAGGATAACATTTAGTGGATTGCTTAACTGCCTAGATGGCGTTGCATCTACCGAAGCGCGCATCGTTTTTATGACGACTAATTATATAGATCGTTTGGATCCCGCATTAATTCGACCTGGTCGAATAGATTTAAAAGAATATATAGGATATTGCAGCCAATATCAACTTGAAGAAATGTTTAAAAACTTTTTTGGTGAAAATGAAACTTTAAAATCTGTAGAATTTGCTCAAAAACTTATCGCTTCATCTCGTGCAGTTAGTCCAGCTCAAGTACAAGGTTTTTTCATGAAACATAAGTCTTCCTCTCCACAGCATGTAGTTAACTGTTGTCAGAGTATTTGGGAAAATTAGTATTAGTATAAATTGTTTTAAAATGATGTAGTAAAAATACAATTAAATTAAAATATTTACCGAGTGAGAAACGTAGTTAAAAAAGACTGCATGTATAATAAAATAATAAACAATTCAGTAAAATATTTGAAAAATGTAAATTAAAAAAATTCGGAATATATTTAAAACACGCACAAGGAGACTCATCTCTCAATATAAGGTATATATGGTTGAGTCGATATCGTCATAACTGTGTACCTATTTGAACAAGTCGATCATGAGAACAGATATTTAGAATATACTTTGATTGTGCTGTTTTGATTGGAACAATAGCAGTATAAGTGTTACTTGAAGGGAACATATTCGATACGTCTTTCGGACATATTGGAGTAGCACCAAACGCCAATAAAAAACGTTTATGTGCAGATTCGATTTTGTTTTGATTTTATGGGGACCAGACAAAAAAGGAAAAGTTAAGAATGTGTCCAATAGATATAAACATTTTTTTTGTCGTCTACGGAGTTCGAGCCCTACCGGGGAAAGTATTATTATTTTTTTTTTGCTGGTGTGGCTGTTGAGTAGATTCGACAGTAAGAAATGCGGTCAGTTGCAAATTCGAGCCATGCCAAGGGAACTTTTTTTTTAATAATTTATTTGGTGTTGGAAAAACAGGGTTCAGGGTATCCCCTAGTCGGGAGCTCCCGACTAGAACCTCTTACAATTGAATGGGGCAGCAGCTTTAAGAATTTCTGTATACATGTACACGCACACATTCATGCGCGTCTGCTTCGTATTCTAACAGCATGGTAATTGCGACTTTTTTCTGTAATGTTATTTTAGGTCCTTTTTTTATCATAAGTACTTAATTGTTGGTGTGGCTGCTGAGTAGGGGCATAGCAAGTGGTGCGGTCTGTCGCGAGTTCGAGCCCTACCGGTGAAAGTATTATTATTTTTTTCGTTGCTGGTGTGGCTATTGAGTAGAGTCGACAGTAAGTAATGCGGTCAGTTGCAAATTCGAGCCCTGCCAAGGGAACTTTTTTTTATTAATTCATTTGGTGTTGGAATAAGAGGGTTCTGGGTATCCCCTAGTCGGGAGCTTCCGACTAGAACCTCTTACTTGTTTTATTAATTTATTTGGTGTTGGAATAAGAGGGTTAAGGGTATCCCCTAGTCGGGAGCTCCCAACTAGAACCTCTTACTTGTTTTATATTGTTTCAGGGTATGAAAATTGAAATTGTGTTTGATCGGTTGATTGGAGGGTAAACAAAAAGTTTCATACATATGTTTTTCTCGATTTTCCCACACTTGCTATTTCCAAAACGCAAGTGCTCGCTTTCGATCGCGAGGGTCATATGTTAACTTATACATCAGTAATTATAGAATTCCACACGCTCCTACAGAATAAAACCTCAAGTAGAAAATTTATTAATCAAAAAAATAAACCGTCGGTTTCAGAAGAAACTTTTACCAGATTCCGTGTTCGAAAGATGACGACTAGAACATACAACACGCAAGGATAAAAGATATTCTTGATCAACTAGGGCGAATAAAATATTTTTCATGTCTCTTTCAAGCAGGATTTCAATATCGATTCTTATCGACCCAGAGCAAATCCCATGAATGCTGCCACTGGAGCAGCTCGGATGTAGTGCTAGATCGCCTTTTTAAGGAAATAATAAATGCAGGTAAACACGTGTCGGTTTTCTTGCTTGAACTAAAAAGAAAAAACTCTCTGTGAGAGCTTTAGATCTTTCGTGAGAGCTTTTAATTCGCTCACTAACACAGTGAACAATAAAAAGCTTGCCAGTGCTGGTGCAACAGCCAAAAAGTGACAGTGCAGAGCGAAAATCTCGTGACTTGGTCAACACAAGTCACGTTGTGGGAATAAAGTAAAGGATTAGAAGGCATAACTGTCTTGCCGGAAATCCAACTGTGGGCAGGGTTTACCGCAGGGTGTCTATCCGGGTCAAAAATCTGCTGGAGATGTACAGACAAAAGGAAACCACCCGTTTTTTGGAAAATGTTTCTCCAAGTGAGTCTTCAAGTCACTCCCTGTGGAGTGACTCAGAAATTTCCCATCAGCTAGCATGACGGATCCCACTGAAGTGTTCGCCAAATACTTAGAGGTACTTTTCAAGCCATTTAATACAAGCTGGGCAAGCATGAACAGAAAGTTAAAGTTACGCTGGAGAGTCCAGGACAGTTAAGTCAGTTGCTCCAATATCACCACATAGCAGGACTTAAGACTAGAAAAGTTCCTAGCAAAGATGTGTCTATAAAGCTACTGATGTCCTGCAGCAATACCGCCACAAACGCTGGAACATTGGTATACATTTAAATAATTGGTATGTCCAGGAGTTTTCTTGCGCGGTCAATTATTGACGCACCACAACAGCTAAACATATTAAGGAGTGCCCTTAGACAGGCGTTTCACGTTTAGCAAAAACATCGCAAGTATTACAGGAGCATTGTAAAACAGATTAAACAAACTTAAATGGCTTCTTAATAGTAGCGATGCGTTATCCTTAAAAAATCTTCAAAATCTTCAAAGCCTGCATAGCTCCCGCCTGGCGTTATGGAATTCAAGTATACGGGATTTCTGCAAAATCTTGCTTTGCAAAAATCGGGATGTAACAAGCAAAAACGCTCCGCAATCTGTCGGATGCCCCTGGTACGTGCATACTTCCGATTTGGAAAAAGATCTAGGAGTGCCCAAAGTCGGGGACGTTATAAATATACAGGCTGAAAACTAAATTACGCGGCTGGGAAATCATAATAAGTAAATACTCATATAAGTTTAATTTAAGTTGTTTGCATAATAACAGTGAAAGTGAAGTAGGTAAATTAAAAAAAATATTATAAAAAATTGCTGTGAAATAAAAGACTCTTCCTAATCGGAAATGGGAAATTTATCATTAATTTTAATGACGTTTGATCCTGAATTTATCTTTTCTGAGGCGTCTGCCTCTTTTGGTACTTTTCATAAAGGACTACAACAAGGCATCTGGCTATGCTTGCTTTGCTTTTCGACTTGTTGCTCGAAACCGAAACGGTAACCTTATGGTATGATATGTTTAATGTCTATCAACCTACATTCTTTAGAAGCCACTAACATTTTCTCGCAAACGCTTGTACGATTTATTTGGTCTACCTGTACTGATATTTTGATTTAAAGGATTATTTATTTGTGCGTGCTGCAAATTCTGTTTGAATTCTTGAGCCGTTTGCACCTTCGAACGGTCTTATGAAAATTTGTGGCTTTCATGATTGTTACTAAATTGAGGTTTCGTTTTTCGTCTTTAATTGATAACATTGTTAGAATTTTGATATTATGGTTATTATTACAACTGTCTTCAAAGTGTGCTACTTATTTTACTTATTATTTTTGAAATAGTCTAAATATTATATTTTGCGAGTGACATAAAAAGTCTATAGGTAGCTTCCTATGTATTAAATTTTTAAAAGTGTTATTTATTGCGCTTGTGTACAATTTGGCACAATCTAAATTCCCTACTTATTCTAACTTATTAGTTATAATTATTATCTTAGCCTCGGCCTCATTACAACATTTATGTAAATTACCACCTGATAAGTAGTATTATAGAATCTTTGCAGTAGTTCCAAGGTCTTCCACGGTTGTTTGCGTATTGTATTCTCAGTTTAGAACTTGCCTAAGTCTGGGTCAATCGTTGATTTGCAGCATTTGTAGTACCTTCTGGGCATCCCCGGGATATGGAGCCCAATTGCCACGAATATGATGCATTGTCGTCCATTGTGAGTAGAGTACAGTTGAAGCAGATAATCAATGTTTTTGATAAATGGATCCAGGGTTATAAGATCTCCTTCAAAGGTTGGCACGTTCCGTATTTGTAGTATTAATTGGTTTATATGTTGGTCGCTTATTTATTCATTGATCGAAGTGCAGCAACATGAGATTTTCCCAGTATTCAAGTTTTTAAGTATTTAATTTAGTTGTTACGAAAATCAAAGTGTTTTACAGCGACGGAATTGGATTTGTTCGTTGGTTGAATTGTCCAGAGACGCCAAGTTCTTTTGTGGAAAGCGAATCTTAGAAATTGAAATACGTTCGATTTATTTGTGATACTGTGCAAAATGGATAAGCCTCTCTTTAATTGATCACGAACAATTATTTATTTCGTTTCACAAAAATTTAACGCTGTCAGGCTGCGCCAATAGCTTAGTGATAAGTTTGCCATAAACGAAATCTCTTCGTGTATTTTGTTCAGTATCCTTCTTATTTTTAGAGGAAAATTAATAATTGGTGTCGCCGCCAAGTAGAGGCTGTGGCTTATGCGGTCTGTTACGGGTTTTAGCCGTATTGAGGGACCATTTTTTTTATATAATAATATTTTTATTACTGTTTAAGCAAACGAACTGCATTTGGTCTTGGTAGAAGGGGGTTCATGGTATTTCCTAGTCGGGAACTCCTGTCTAGAGCCACCTGCAGTTTTGTAAAAGACCGCTTTCTACAGATGTTAAGTGTAGCCAGGGATGGAATTGCCCTCGAGAACCGATGAGCAAGCCGGCGCAAAAACTATTTTTTTCTTGTTATCACTAATTATGCTCATGGCGGTTTTTTCATTTATGATGATGCCGCCGTCATCGATGACCGCGAGTGACTCGGTATGGCTTGGCCGAGTGCACATCTTATACAATAATCTTTTGCAGAAAGTTGTTGCAGTTACGGTAAAAGGTTTTGACATTTTCGTCGGCATTGTTGGGAATATTGTTATCGTGCTCTACCGGGCATTTTTTTTTCTTATATTTTTACATATTCAATAAAAAGTAAACACGAATTATTATTTAATAAAATCTTGATTTGATCTACTTCCATCAAGTCAGTGATGGTTATGTTTTATTACTATTGCTGGGTAAATAAATTCAATCTTTGTAAGTGTAACAGATAGCATTAAAGTTTTAAGTTCCGAAATCAATATCCTTTTCCTTGAATTTAATGTTTATAAGTCGTATAAGTGTTTGATATTCATTGGGTTCTTTTTTTAAATATTCCATTCGAATATTAGCTGCGTCTGCTAGTTTAATTAATTATTCTTTCATTCTTATATTTTTTTTGACGTTTTATTTTTGTCTATTTTCTTATTGAATGAGTTCCTGTTGTGTTATTTTTAGTCTTGTTGATGCCAGTTCAATGCTAGTCTTAACGTAGCATTGACAGAGCCTCACTCAGTTAGAGAGAGTCGCTCAGTGAGAGAGATTCACTCAGTGAGAGAGACTCACACGATCCCGAATACGCTCAGCACTCTCCTCACGGTCTCCACTTCACCTCTATAACTCCAACCAAAAAAATATGAAGAAACTCTTCTACTATAATGTTCATTTTATGCAGCCGAAAGTTTCTAATAAAGTGTCACTACCAAATAACCACTTA